GTCCAGTCTTGGTAATGGCTCTGCTAATTATATTGTTTTATACTTAAGACATGTTTCTTGCTCTGGAGGAAAGGAGAGGAAGAAGGTGAGAAGATTTAAAGTACCTCTTGGATTGCTGTGTGACTTTGGGCAAATTACTGACAACTCTGAGCTCTAGATTCATCATCTGTTAAATGGAGATAATAAACCAACGGCATCTCCGTTGTAGGATTGTTTTGAGGATCAAATGATATAATGTACATGCAAGAGCTTTGTAAACAATAAGTCACTGTGTATCATGCAGACAGTGGGGGTGAAGGCTTTATTTACTTCAATCTCAGTATCATCGGTGAGAGAGACCAGGCCTTAGCTCTCTGGGATGCTCTACGGAAAGTGCCTCATTGTGTTTGGACTTTATTTATTGAATGCATTTGAATGAGCGATCATTCTGAGAGCAGAGAGTCATTCAATTTGATTTCACAATGGGGTGATGGGTGAGGTGGAAACTGCATTCTCAAATGCATTATCCAGAATACAGGAAACAAAACCACTTTTTAAAAGTGACTCATCTTTAATATCTCACAGCAGGTTCGAAATACTTTATTCATTCATTTTTATAGCAAACTCTTAATTGAGAATGTCATAAACCGCTTTGAAGAGAGAGGCAATCACGACCTGGAAAATTAAGTGGAGTAATATACAAATAGGCTTTTGTCTGGCTGGAGGTTTTCGCTTATTCACAATGTGCCTTTAGGTTATCTTAGCAACACATGCTCCCTTTTCCTTACCCCGCTGGCAGTGTGTCTTTTGGGGGGCCAATGGATGCTGAACATGAAAAACGGTTCCCCATATGTTGCTTTTTTCTTGTCTGTGTTACAAAGTCTTTCTGACGCATTTATTCTCAAAAACAAACACTACTTTCATCATTCTTCAACACCCTTCGTCTTCTCACTTCACCTGTCTTCTGCTGTCTACCCAATGTCCTTTCTGTGTGGGCCACACAAATATGTTGTGAATGAATGAAGTGGGAGCCCCCTTCCAGCTCTTCTCCATGAAACCAACCTTCACCCACGTCCAGAGTAAGTACCCTCTTCTCTTGATTTCTTTACAACTTATCGTCTCCATAATGTAGCGCTTTAGAAAATATATTCTTTTCGCCTGGCTTTTAAAAATATCTTGTCCCACCCTCTGCTATCCCAACTGTGTGACAAGTTATGGGAAGAATACAGGCTTCTAAGTTGGATGAACTTAGATGAAACCCCAAGTTCTGCCATTTTCTACCTGTCTCACCTGAGGCACCAGGGTACAGTAATTATAATTAAATCATAGGGTTGTTGAAAGAGGTAAAAAAGACAGCTTATATGAAGCATAAAGCACATAATAAGAGCTCATTAAATTCTTGTACGAAGATTAATTCATTAATTCTTCTCTAGATAAAGCTTTCTCTTTCAGGTGAGGCGAAAGAGAAAAAAAATTTCCTAACTAAAGATACATTTCTCCATCACCTTCCCCCCACCTCAAATTTATGATCCCTTAAACTACTGAAGACCCTGTGAACTTTCACTTAACTTCAGTCTTGCAGCTTCAACAAATGTTCATTGCTTTCAGTTTAACCTTTTTTTTAAACAAACCTTAATTGAGCTCCTACTATGTGCCAGATAATTTCCTAGACACAATCAAGAAAATGTTTATTAACTTCCAAAGTCCCTGTCTGAAGATTTATGAAATACTTTTTTAAGCCATGGGTTGAAATAATACTCCTCCCTTCCTCTCCCATATACATATGCCATTTAAAAATTAAGCTTGGGCAGGGGCAAGAAAGTATCTGTAGAGAGAATTTAATGGATTACAGCTTTCTAGATCACTTTCCTTTTTATCTTTTTAAAAAATTTATCTTTATTGTTGAAAGTATTATAGATGTTCCCTTTTTTCCCTTTCAACAAGCTAAGCACCTAGGCTAAATGACATTGTTTGTGCAAGGTATAAACCAGGCCCCACATTTCATCCCGTGGCATTAACTTGTTTTTGTACAAAGTCACCATGCTCACTTTACATCATTTCAGCCCTTTTGCTTTCATTTTATTAGAAATGGATCCATCATTTTAGCTCATAACTTCTAGTTTCCCCCATTTTATTTTTCCACATGTGATCCATTTGGTTATAAAACAATTGATTCAAAGGCAATCTTTAGCTAGCCTAACAGTATTAACAGTCTACTGCCAAAGACTCCTGACTAATTTATCTTTTTAAAGGACAGAGTATTCACACAGTTCTCTAATCAAGATAGAGCAGCTTACAGAGACTTAAAAGACAAGAAAAAAGGCAAAATAACTTTGCACTGATGATACTAAAAGCTAAATAATTGTCTGCCTCTTCCCACTTGTAGTAACAAACAGCCAACAGATTCTTATTGACTTTGGTAGTGTCACTGAACTTTCAAGTTGAGAAATACTGTCCAGTCACTTGTGCCCCAAATTGAGGTCCACGGGCCAGCAGCATCTGCATAGCATGGGAACTTGCTGGGAATGCAAAATCTCAGGCCCACTCCTGGCCAACCGAATCAGAATCTGTATTTTAACAGAGTCCTTAGGTGAGCTGTAAGTCCCTTAAATTTTTAAAGTGCCATTCTAGTAAACCTCCACCTCTGCCCTCCTTTTACGAGATGAGAAAGTTTAAACTGAGAGTTAGTGTGGAGCTCAGACTGGAATCTTAGCCCCCTGACTCCAAGTTCACTGCTCTCTTCTGTACTCAGGCCTGCCTCCGTAGCATCCTAACTCTTAGGGTGGAAGCAAGTTGCTGTTGCCCAGTTGCTCACTCCAGGTCTGGCCTTGTCTTGCTTACTTTTCTGGTTGACGTTTGGTGTCCTAGAAAAGTAGACTTCAAATTTAGAGCATGACTTTCTCTTTAACACCCATTTCCCTGGTGTGGGAAGGCATTTACCTTACCATAGGATATTGCATAAAACCTCCTAAATAAGAATGAACCCTTAATATGGCCAGAACCCTTTTTATTGTCATTTACATTTGTCAGCATCTATGATAGGAATTTTACCACCTGACATTCTTTTCCTATCTCACAGCTCACGATTGCATAGTACACCCCCCACTCATAGGAGGAAGATCGAAAAGGCTGAGCCAAACCCTGTTAACAAAACAGTCCCCTGAAGGGCTACAATATTGCTCAGTGGTAATATCATCCCTGTGCATTTTATCTTGTACACGAAATCTGGGCTAATTATCATTTTCTCTTACAGTGTATTTTAGACCATTGTGTTTTTGTGTCCCTGCCTAGTTCATTAAGCAGGGTTTTACAGCTCCTCCAGTAACAGGATTGCTATTGACACTTTCATTAGACCCATAATTCAAATGCTTGTCTGCATTCCAAATGGAAGGCTCTCGGTCCAGAACCACAATCTGGCCACCGACCGTATGTTGGCTTTTAGAACTGTCATAAACTCATCATCACGTTCAAGTTCTCGAAGGGTCAAAATCTGCTTTCTTGGTGAACTGTCTCCATCCAGCAAACAGTCAACGGGTCCTCCAAGAACAGCCAGCCAAGCTTTCTCTGTAGCTCTCTGAAAATCCTTCCAAACATTTTTCAGTATATTGTGACTATAACACAGATAATCATTGTCTGTATTTAAATATTAATTCTCTAGTGATCATGATAGTCTTTCCTTTTTTAGTTGTATTTTGTTTTTCTCTCTGACAAGCTTCAAGAAAAGGTTCAATGCAAATATTTGATTTAATTTACAATAAAGCTTTTGAGGAGTGCTACTAGACAACAGAAATTTCTGCCTTTCAATTTTGAGGAGGCAACTATCTGGGCCTCTTCTGTCACTAAGAAGAAGCAGGAAACCTAAGCAGACCTCTGTAGCTTCAGACCTCTGTAGCTTCCGTGTGCAGGCGACGTTTCCAACCTTTACAAATTGCTGTTAGCTACTTAATTGAACATACAATTGCAGACCATATATTTCAATATACAGTTAATTGTGTTTGATTTAAAAGGCTGCTGATGGGGTGCTTTGCTTTTGCTTTCGGGCCAAGTAACAGAGAAAAAAAAATTATTTTGGGATAGTTTTCACCTTCCTAATATCTTTGCCTTTAAGAATAAAAGAAAGAGAGGAAGAAATGGAAAAAAACACAGAAGGGTAGCCTTGTACTGTTTCTTCAAGTTCTTTCTTGGTTCTTACCCTTACCTGAGCACACGCACTGGATTACCTACTTCGTTTGGTTTACTCCAGCCAATCTCCTAGCTGGATTTCTGAAATAGGAAGGTCCTCTGCTAGAATGGGCTAAGACCATTTAGCCGGGGAAGGATGCAAAGCTGGCTCTATCGCTGACTGGGACAGTGTGGCTTCATTTTGCAGTAACACTGCCGTGGAGTGAGAAAATGACTTCAGCGTTCGTCCCGATGCACTTATTCCACTGTGCGCCTTCACAAACACGTCCAATCGCAGGAGGGAGGTCAACGACAATGTAGGGTTTAGAGACTGTTGCTTGGAAATCACACTCACTTAAATACCTGAATCTGTCCATCAGCCATGCCATCGCGTATTCCAGGCCTGTGCAGAAGAGTGATTTGCAATCTCCTTGCTTTTCATTTCAAGTAGCATCACTCACTTTAAGCCAGATATTCAGGCCTCTTCAGAAGCCTCCAGGGTGAAGGACAAGTAAGAAGAAGCTTATTGAATCTTTCACAACTGTGGCCGGCTGCATCTACTGCTTCAAACTGGTTACATCTTTCTCTGGTGTTTTATTTAAAAATCGCACGTTCTTCCTTTCATGTGACAAGGAATAGGGATTTTTACCGCATAATTTCATGATCCCTTTGGCTCCTCTGTGGTGCTGTTCAGTTACTAGATCACTCTCCAGGTCCGAAGCTGGGGCAGAATTTCTGGGGTTGGGAGAGAGGACACAGTGTTTGATTTTGCAGATTCGTCCCTTTTTAATTATCTTCCCTCATCTTCTATACGCTCAGGCTGCAGAAGTAGATTCTGTTGTTTTCTTTTTCACTTACAGGGACTTACCAGTTTGGGCATCTTCCAGAGCTGAAAACCGATCACAAATATGAAACAGATTTCACTACTGGACTTGAACTCCACATAAAACAACAACAAGATTCTCAAAATAAATGAACAAGGTCTTCACCAAAGAGTACATGCAATGTGAAGGGCGGGAAACCGAGGAAGTAAGAGGTAAATTTCTAATGAAAACACGTTTGCTGTGTGGTCAGGTATATAGAAAATATGCTTCTAAGCTAAAGGCAGTGTCTTTCTCAGTTGAGGGCCAGGGCAGGGAAGATCGTTTTTAATTAGCAAAACATACTGGATGATCCTGGGTCTGTCTGTCTAGCTATTCATTATGGGAATGTTGAGGAATGCTAGGTACTTTCTAAAGACATCATTTTGGGGGAGGCCTGGGCTTAGTGAAGGAAACGACTTTCACAATAAACACTTGTGGGAACATTTTGCAAATTATTGTGCTTCAGAAATTGTGGCAACCGCATCTCGTGAACCTATATACAGGATAACAAGGGATCATCGTATCAGGGGCAAAGATACAATAAAACTCATATACCCTGTTTATCTTGATGCTGGGGGAGGGAGAAAATGGGGTGGGCTCGCTAGAATATACAAAGACCATCTAGGGTAGGCACCTGCAATTTTAGCTTTTCCTGGTGTGAAAAAGGTGGGGCAAATGTGTATGTATTTATGGATGAATGGAGTGTTCTTTGTCTTTTTTCTTTCCTGGCCTATTAAATAGTTTAGTGGCTCCATCCATTCTGTCCTGACAGGAAGCATCTGTGAGTTGCCAGATTTGTTTTTGGGGCTCTTGTGACTCAGAATCAAAGACTAAGGAAAAGATAGAAGGCAGAAATGCCGTGGTGACCTGGCCTCGCGAGGAAGGCGGGAGCTCGGAACACAGTGACGGGACGCACCCGGTCCCCAGGAAAAGGGCAGAGGCGGGCGGGCGCGGCCTGGCTCCTGGGCTGCGAGGTGCCAGCTGTGCCTGAGGAGTGAGGGTGCAGCATGGGCGCAGCGTGAGCGCCCGCAGCAGGTGGGGTGACTTTGAGGGGGATGGAGCTTGAACGGCGAGCCCGTGAGCTCCCAGGGCTGTTCGAGCAGGGCTGGCATGAGAAAGGAAGGGTTGGGGGTGCTAATAGGAGCTGCTGTGTGTCGGATTCTTGCACCCCTTTATTTCTTCAGTGAATGAGTGAAGGGGGTGACCCCCGACTCTTAAATGGAATGTAACTTTGGGTCTGAACTCACGGTTGCAACCTTTGATAAGGTTTCACACAGAAAGCAAATATTCCACTGGGCACCTTGGCAGTGGGATTCCTTTTGAACTAAATCATAGTGCCTGGCTGGTGTGGCTCAGCGGTTGAGCATCGACCTAGGATCCAGGAGATCGGGGTTCGATTCCCCAGTCAGGGCACATGCTCAGGTTGCGGGCTCGATCCTCAGTCGGGGGCGTGCGGGAGGCAGCCGATCAATGACTCTCATCATTGATGTTTCCATCTCTCTCTCCCTCTCCTATCCTCTCTCTGAAATCAATAAAGACATAAAGCAAAACAAACAAACAAAAAACTAAATCATAGTTCTTCTCAGTGTCCGCGCCTCAGCTCAAGCACTGGGTATTCAGTTCTTTTCATAGGGTCTGGTTTGAAAAGAGCAGACCTGAGAAGGTTAGTGCCTTGGGGAAGCCCTAACTGGCTGCACGATCCCAGATCGCTCATCTGAGGTAATGATGGGCACTAGTTATGAACAGGGGACTGTGGGGTCACACAGAGTTTGTACAAGTTACATACTCTTTGTTATGCTTTATTTCCTATTTCTATAATGTTGGAGCATTTAGAAGAATCTTCCTCATGGGCTTTTTAATGAGATAATGTGTGTGAAGCTTCACAGTGATGAGTTCAATAAACATTAACCACTGTTGTCTGGCCGGTGTGGCTCAGTGTCTGAGCGTCGATCCATGAACCAGGAGGTCAGCGGTTTGATTCCCGGTTAGGGCCCGTACCCCGGTTGTGGGCTCAGTCCCCAGCAAGAGGCAGCCAATAGATGTTTCTCTCATCATTGTTTCTATCTTTCTACCCCTCTCCCTTTCCATCTCTCTAAAATCAATAAAAACACATTTAAAAAAATATATTAGCTGCTGTTGTTATAGTTGCTATTATTATTATTATCGGTGATGGTGGGATTATTAATTCCTGGCCCTCAGTTCCCTCTTCTTTAAAATGAGAGGCTACAATAAAATTTTCTCTATGCTCCCTTCAAGATCTAAAAATAATCTCTATACTTCCTGAGTTTAGGAACACCAAGCACAGGAAACAGGCGATAGTCAATGAGAGAATTCTTTTTTGCCCTAAATCTCTTAGAAATATTTGGGTTCTTTTAAAATGCCACCCCCTGGAGAGGGCCCAAGATTTCATTTAACCTGTGCTTCACCAACTTCAGTGTCTTGCTCAGCACGACTTGTACACCTACTGAGTGAGGAAAAAAGAGTTGGAGTTCTCTTTCCTTCTATAAACTCTACTTGAACTATTTATGCTCTCCCCTCCCTGTATGGAAACACTAGTTAGTAGCTCTGCCTTTTCCTAAGAACATCGATAGCTACAAAGTAGATTTCCCTTTTTTCCTTTCTCCTCCCACTCCTCCTCTTCCTCCTTCTGTTAAAGATGTCACAGCCCTAGTTCTTCTGTGATACGTAAGAAACCATCTCTTTCAAAGGCTTTCGAGCTCTTCTTTTTTCTTCTTGGCAGCCTCTTGTTCACATAAATGTAATACCGATGGAGTTGTTGATTGGTCCTAGAATATATCACAGTCCCTAAATACATGAAATTGAAAAAAAAAGAAAGAAAAGAAATCAACATTGTTCTGAAAGGAAGGTAGTTAAAATTCAGAAAGAGAGATTCTTTAATTAACTTAATAAAATTACTAATGGAAGCATTTTAACTGCTAAATTTAATTTACTTGTCAAGATATCAGGCTACAAAGAGGAGGGAAGAGTAGGAACTCTGCTTTCCATTATGATGTACTCTATTATAGAATAAATTTGCTTAAAATGAAATATATCACCAAAAGCCATCAATGACATCTTAATTTGGAACAGCCAGTTGAAAAGTAATTAGACTATGAAGCAATCAGTTCTAGTAAATCAGTGTTTCCCTTTACATAAACATACTTTTTTCTTTCTTTCTTTCTTTGCTATTTATACACAGGGAAGACTTTTTCAGGTAGTAGGCAGGCAAAGATGCTGATTCTTTTTGGCTGCCGGTGTTTTTACTTTACATTACCAAGCTGTCAAAACAAAATGTTTTATGATGGGATTAAAAAATGTATAAGCATCTGATTTGATTTAGTGTTTATATTTATATGTTGAACTGAGGAGAGTTTGCTTATCATGGGGGTTTAAAAGATTTACATTTGTCTGCCCCTTACTTCCAAAATGCTTTCCAGATCCACCAGCAGCCCTGACACCTTTCTTCAATGAATGAGGCTCAGTGAAAAACCAAACGGAGCCCTGCTTCTCCCTGCCCGGCCCCTGCTACCTGATATAGCTCAAGGTGGAGAATGGGACTGGGATGGGGTAGAGATGGGAGGGGTTAAAATCATCATTTTGTTCTGTGTCTGACAATTTACCATTAGGAATTTCTCAAAATGTAACCGACCTTCCTAGGCATGTGTGTGTGTGTTTCTTATTGTGAAAAGCTTATGAGAAAATTTATATTTCACCTGATTTTGAAAAGTTAACCATTTAGCTAAGTGGCATCAAAAATCCAGCTACCAAACTACTTCATATTAGGACGCTCTTTCGTATATGTCTTCTCTGATCGCCTCAGTACACCTCTGAAGAAGACATGTTCATCTTCAATTTACAGACGTGGAAATGGAGCTCAGAGAGGTTAAGTGACTCGTGGAGATCGCAGAGGTAGTTAATGGGAGAGCTGGGGCTGGAACGAGGGCTTCTGGGCTCCGGATACCTTTTCCACAACATCTGCTTCTGATGATGGAATCCCATCTGTTATATGCGGAGGGGAAGAGGTGTGAGAAAAATAACTCGAGGAGATATCAATCACTCAGCAAAATATTTATGAAGGACTTCATTCAGATATTAGGGGAGTCACCATTGTCATCAGCCCTGAGGAATCAGAAGGGATGATGAATTATGCCAAAGAGAACATTAACTCAGAAGATAGAGACTGCTGTGCAGTGTCATGCTCGTGCTAGTGTGTATTATTTTCTAGTGCGAGAGAATGGCACGAGGGAGGAAGATAAAGGACAGTTTTATAGTGAGCCAGATAAGCCACACCTTGTTATAAAGGGAGAAATGTGGGGACGCCTCCGAAACGCGGTCCTAGGATCTGCCAGCATGCAAATCGCTGAGCAGTATGCAAATGACCTCACCCTAATAGAGTAAATCATTTCCATTCTCTCCACTGCCTACTGAGGAATGTGATCATTGATAACAACACTACAAGGTACTATTCCTAGCTGAAAAACACACTGGGAGGAAATCTAATATGTATGATGCCATGGGAGTATTAACATTCATAATCGCAGAGAGGTGTGAAGTAGCCCAAGACATTGTAATTAAAGTGCAAAAGCCTGCGCCGCATGTCACAGCAAGAGAACTTGCAGGGCCCCTCTGCCTCTGGAATTCTAGTGGAAAAACAGTCTATCATCCCCAAGGGCTGCTCAGGATCCCTGTACGGCAGGGCAATTGCCCTGGGAGTGGAGAAGGCAGGAACTGTATAAAAATAGACAGAGCAACTTAAAGTTGGCAGAGAAAAGATAAGGAGCCCCAAAGTGGGAAATGAGATATTGCTAGTAAAGGAGGTTAGGTGAAGTAAGGAGGCCTTTTATAAACCTATCAAGGAAAAAAGGGATTCTCAAGAGAAAAAAGACCAGCGAATAAATGAGAAGAGGGGGGCATGAAATTAATGATGGCTGAGATATTGACCTCCTGCTTTAAGTCAGTTTTTAGGAGAAAAATGAGAAGAAAATTTGGACAGCTGGAAGGCAATAATGACTTTTAAAAATGGGTATCGACAAAGATGATGAGGGGAAATTTAGAAAAAAATTAAACATTGTGGCATATACAGATTGTAAATTTTAGATAATAATGCTTCCTAGGGAATTAGGTTTCCTGTCTACTAACTAGGCACCGTTATGGGAAAACAAAACAAACTAGA